TTTGAGATGCGTTTTCTCTTGTTTGGTGGGTGTGTCAAACATGTCAGCCTAATCAGCAGCAACATGTATATAAACCACCCGGTATTAAAGAGACAGCGTGCACAATGTAATTAACATCAAAATAAATTCACAAGAGCAAGTATATTGTTTGCACATGTTTATTTACATTAAAAGCAAAATAACTGAAATGATAAGAGTTTCTAAGAAATAAGAAATGCTAAGTATAGATCTGGAACTTCTTTAAGTCTGTCTACATATCATTTAGTAATTGAAATGTCTTCTGGTCCATATCCTTTCCTTAGGAAGGCGTGCTAGACACTGATTAATGTAACATAAAAATACACATATTTATATATTTTGCTATTGCATTGTGGAGTGACACTTTCATAAACTTTTCTATACCCCTCTGATTATATAAATATCACAATAACATAGCACAACAACAGTGATCAGCAATAATGATAAGCCTAATACTCGCAATAAAAATAATAAGATCATAGATCATAACACAGTTTCGGAGGTAAGAAGTGGATTATCCTTCACCTGAAATGTTTGTCTTTTCATCCTGAAATGCGAGGCAAATGTTGGATCACAATAATTAGGAACCACAGTTTCCCTTCACTCGATTAGGATGTTCTCTTTTATTTTGGACGGCAAGGGCAGTGACTGTAACATCAAGCATATTTTGCAGTATTAAACACGTATTTATACTGATTTCATCAGGCTCCGAAAAGAACGCAAAGAATGGTCTTCTCAGCTGCCGTAGTTGCAACTCTTGTGTAATCAGAACAGAGTGCAACGCACCACCGTTTCCGTTTAAAAACGCTTTGCACCGTTTTGTCGGGGCTGAACGCAGCCCTGCTGATTGACTGGAGCCATATGACTAAACAAAACAGCCGCATCCCACTGCATTTTCCAAAAAGCAGCATCTTGTTCAGTGAAGTGCGTCTCATGTAGAAAAACACAGTTACCCTTGCTTTCTGGAATGCACCCTGGAAGCCCCGCATTTAGGCTACAAGTTAGTTACAAATGGCGCGCTCTTCACGATGCACATTCTGAAATACGAACCTTGAAACAATCCCACACTCGGTTTTTTTACGTTTTTTGGCTTGTTTTCTCTCAACTTTCAACTTTTTTAAAATTATTTCTGAAACAACGAATGTACTGTTTTTATTTATGTATGTATGTATTTATGTATATATTTATTTATTTATTATTTGGGACTCAGGATCAAATGAGTTGTATGATTTGTTAAACCAGCTAACTTTCTGTGGACAGTATCATCAATAAATCATAAATACATAATCATAAATACAACGTTACAGATTCCAGTCTTAGGCTTTTCTGTATTGATTTAAAGCTTCTATGACTCTGTTTGCTAATCGTTTAACAAGAAAGCTGGTAAAACCATTTAGGTGAAAATGGTTTCAGCGATGATATACTATATGTATCCCCCGTTTTTTTTTATTGGTTCAATTAAAAATTAAATTAAAATAAAAAAGGCTGCGCCGCTCTTGCGTCAAAGTTGACTATTACTAATTAATTAAACTGCTAAACTATGTAGCTCTGGAACTTTATAAATACATTACATATGAAAAAAACGCATA